AAAATTTATTTTGATGTTTTATTTGAAAGAGAAAAATAAAATCAATATTTATTTTGTCACGTTATTTTTTACCTTAAACCTTTATCCTAAATGTTGTTAGAATATATTTAATATTTGATTAAATCAGGAGTTCAAACAGCCTAAAATAGTGGTTCAAACAGCCCAAAAACAGAGGTTCAAACAGCCTAGCACAACAGCAGTTCAAAAGGTTCAAAAGGTTCAAGTGGAAGATATTCAAATTTGTAATGATGGAGTGGAAGATATTCAAATTCGTAATGATGGAGTGAAAGATATTCAAATGAATACAACGGTTATAAACGACTATAAATTCAAATGAATACAGCGGCTATAAATGTCTATAAACGGCTATAAGTTTCATTATATATACCAAAGACTCTAATGTAAACAAGTTACAACAAAAAAATCATAAAATATTCTTTGATCAAAAATCACTCTCATTTATTCTCTAAAATATTTTCTGAGAAGTGTTCTTCAATTTTTGTTTACATCCTCTCTCAGAAATTATATATTAAATCGTATAGCTTTAAGCCCATCTTTCCTATGTGAGGATTACAGAAAAATCAAAATCTCATTTTTGTATCTATCTTTGAGAGATAATTCTTGTAGCTTTCTGTGAAAGCAAAAACACATTCTTTTCAACCTTGTAAGAGTGTAGTACACTCAGTGTTCTTGACTTAGAAAGTTTGTGTAAAATCTGTGGAGGATTGCTCCATCTGTGAAAATGTTACTAGCACCCTGTGAAGCTAGAGTATAGTGGAAAATCTCAAGTGAATCTTGAGGAGTGAACGTAGGCCACAGCTATATTTCATATTTTTACTGTGCTAAAATCATTAACTAACATAGTTGTTAAGATACTTATTTTAATTATTTTTATTTCATTAATTATATTTATCTATTGTGCTAGTCATAATTTTTATTAGGGTATTATTAATTTTAATTGTAAAAACCTAATTCACCCCCCTTTTAGGTTATCTCTTGGGTAACAGTATATTTATAAAATAAAATAAAAATAGCAGGTTGTACAATATAAGAAAACCTTACAAACAAGCTATACAAATATATATATATATATATATATAAACAAAGAAGCTTTTGGTTCCCAAAAATCCCTCCAATGCTATTGCCATGGTGGAGGCATGCCATCAATACCTGAAAATGTTTTTTCCAAACAGGGTGAGCCACAACCCAACAGGAATAATCTAACACAATATATGAGGTTTAACAAAGGTATGAGTACAATATGCATAAACAATGCCCGTGATAAAACATAAAAAAAAAAAAAAAAAAATCCTTAAGTTCTAAACCATCCAAAAACTATCCTTAAATTCAAAACCGCTGTTGAGGGGTCTTTTGTCTTATTATGGGCCATGTCGAAATATCATCCCCTCAAGGGGCAGCCTAAGGAACAAGAAAGAGGCTCAGCTCAATGCCCACTTTAGAAAACCTGGCAGCTAGACTTGGAAGTCTCACAATCTGCGAGAATGAGTACAAGAAACACAAATGGAAACACCACATTTATAAAGTGTTGTAATCAGAAACTATAGAAATACAAATGATAGGACTATGTCAGTGAAGATCAGTATCAAACAAAAAGCTAATATTACAACAGAAGGGGATTACAAAACAAGAAAGTTGACAAATGAGAGGGTTTTACTTTCTTTGTCTAAATAAGAGGATCAAAATATATTCGTAGCATCACTACTAATGCAATCACAACTCAAATATTTGAAACAAGGACACTGAGTACTAAGTATAACTACTCATGGACTAAAAATGTTATATATTAAATAAATAAAATGAAAATGTTAAGTGCCACCAAAGCTATATATTCAAGAACAAATCTAGGAAGCATTTCACTCTGTAACAAGTGGAAAACAATTAAGAGTTGAGGAGTACTGATATCATATCCCCCATTGAAGCTAAAAAAACAGTGCAATCTTCCTGAGAAAAAACTTAGACAACCATAAGCAACCAAACATGTCTTTCATTCAACACAACCCAAGCATGGCCAAAGACTTTACATTCTATCGAAGAATTTGTAGCCAAGGGAGAAATAAGGGACTATTTGCATATTCAAATCAATGAGTCAAACAATTTAACTATATATAATGTTGCTTTTAGTGAATGAAGGTATTAGAAAAAAAGCTCTTTCTTTAGTAAGTGTTCTTGAAAGCACATGAGTAGCGGAAATTTCTTACTAAAATAAACCAAAACTCAAACACGTAGAATCACAATTTTCCAAAAAATAGTTTACCATCAGGAAGGCATTAGTGTATTGTCATGTCAAACCATCCCTAACAGATAAGATTGGGAAAAAAATAAGAATAACCTGACAGTTTCAATTGACATAATTAGCCCACGACAAAACCCATTTGAAATGAAGAAAAACCCACTACCCCAATTGACATTATTATTATCAGTAGCCAAATTAAGTTGAAAGAGTATTCTTTTACCTGGATTCGTATCCTCACATCGTTGATCTTTGGTCCCATGTTGAAGGGGGCACAATTACTTAAGCCTATTTATATGCAACCTCGTTGGAGTGGACGAAGGTCCCCACTCCGTACTCAAGCCTATTTGTATGGAACCTCGTTAGATTAGATGAAGGTCCCCACTCTGTACTCAAGCCTATTTGTATGGAGTCTCGTTGGACTGGATGAAGGTCCCCACTCCGAAGTGGGCTCTCTCTCTCTACTCTATGATGGGCCGAGCTAAGGGATCAGTCACTCCGAAGAGGGAAAGACCATGGGCCTGGCCCTAGCGCCATTCCCCACTCCAAAGAAGAAAAGACCATGGGCCTGGCCCTAGCACCACTCCCCACTCCGAAGTGGGTAAGTCCATAACTTGGGCTTCAAGGCTTCTACTCCACGACACATGAATGTTAACATATCAATCAATACCATGTAAAGTAAAAGGCAAGTGGTGCCCGCGAATGACGGAACTTGCTCCCCTTTATTAAGGGATGTGTTACCATCATGACTGAGGACCAGGCAGAGAACGAGGGAGCTTGATGAATAAGTCATACGATCCTTATAAAAGGTAACCTTACTCTCATTGAAAGGGGTGATCTCTTAACTCTAGAAACACACTGGTCTTCTCTATCTTGTCTTTACCAAACTCCAGTACTGACTCGATCGTCGGAGGGGTTTCCGACCAACCCCCAGTCGGGCAGCCTAACTATTTGCTCTTTGTACAGGCCTTCACCCATCGGTGCATCAAGGTTCATCCATGAAGTTCTATTTTACTTTATTGCGGAAATTGGTCCACACATTTGGCGTCGTCTGTGGGAATCGTTCTCTGATTGTTTTGTGACGAACTCCGATGATGGATATTAAAGAAACCTCGCAACCCGGGATTGGAGAGAAGACTCCAGGAATGGAGAGAACCAAAGACAAAGGTCTGGCCTTCCCTACCAGGAACGACAACCTGATGGACCACGATAGTCTGACCCTCCATACGGCGGAGCGACATCATGTCGTCGCCTATCAGTCATCTCAACGGCTGTTTGTTGAGAAGGACCACCGTGATCGTGTCATCGACTCGATGAGTCTAGAGATTGAGAAGTTACGTGCTCAACTGAGGAAGTAGATAGTACCTCAGCTGCCCCACGGCGTGAACGGTCTAACTATGGTCCTGCATGTGGTGAGCGTAGCCAGCTGATTCCGGTACGCAGTGAGAGAGCCAGTAGTAGGATAGAGAATCCCCGAGAAGACTCTCGCAAGAGACAAAAGTCCATCAGTTATTATTCAGCAATCTCTTCTCCAACGCGCCGTCATGACGAGCGACCGCATCACTTGAGAACATGGTTGAACGACAACCAAGGGGATGATCGACGGTCGAACAAAGTAGCAGAACAGCGATTAAAAAGGGAAAAGGAGCATCTAGATCAGTCCATTCATCAGATAAAGCGTCGCGTTCTAGATCGACTAGTCTCTTCCCCCATTTGCCCTGAGATTGAAGCAGTGGAAGCTCCTCATAAGTATAATCCACCGAAATTCATCCTCTATGATGGAAAGTCAGACCCCCTGACTCATATCAGCCATTACCGCTAAATGATGTCACTTTGGAATCAGAACACGTTCATGTGCAAGGTTTTTGCCTCTAGCCTTGGTGAGCACGGCCTCCGATGGTATGACAAGCTTCCTCCTCAATCAATCTATGATTGGGCTCAGCTCTCTGAAGCCTTCCTCATAAGGTTTGTTTCTAATAGCCGAATCCCGAAGGGATTGGATACCTTGTTTAATACTCGAAAGGATAAAAATGAGTCTTTGCGCGAATACGCTCATCGATATTGGAAGGCATATGGCGATTTGGAAGCCGTTGGCAGCACTATACTTCAAACAAGGCCTCCCCCCTTCACATAAGCTCATGCAGTCATTGACGAAACGGCCCGCCTCTGACTTGAAAGAGCTAAGGGCTCGAATAGAGGAGCGAGCCCGTGTGGAAGATGACACAACCTTTATACAAGTGTCAATTGCAGATGAGGGAGTTAAGGCCTCTTGGCAACATAGAGCCGAACAGCCTAGGAGGGAGGACCAAAGAAGAAGGTATGGCCAAAATAAGCAACCGACCATGCAAACCAAAGAAGAAAGGAGTAGATTCTATGAAGCCATAACCACTATGTTCACGGAGCCGATCTACAAGCTCTTGGAAAAAATCAAGGCAGAACCCTGCTTCGTTTGGCCTCCTAAGATGATAGGGGACCCAATTCGGCGCAACCAGGAGTGGCGGTGCACGTACCATCGTGAGAAAGGACATAAGATGCAGAACTGCAGAGACCTTAAGAGGCATCTCGAAGACTTGGTCACTGTCCGCCACCTCCAGCAATGGATCGATGTGGAAAAGACAAGGGCAAAACAGGGACAACCTCCAACCCCTCTACCAGAGGACCAAGCCCCAAGGCTAGTGATAAACGTTATCCATGGGATGAGAGACCCCCAAAGAGAGAAAGCCCTTCGTGGCGAGATTCAAAGAGCCACACACTTGTAACAAGTCATGTCAGTAGGACCATTGCTCAAGAAGTCCAGAACGGAAGCAAAGCCCTCTCAGTTCGACATTGTGTTCTCCGAGAAAGATTTGGAAGGGATCCAACATCCTCACACTGATGCCCTGATCGTCACCGTCGGTGTGGCGAACAAATTTGATGTAAAACGGATCCTAGTTGATCAAGGGAGTGCCGCTGACATTATGTATTATGACTTTTTCAAAAAGCTAGGTCTTGATGAGCAACACTTAATCCCTGCAGTCTCCTCTTTGGTCGGCTTCAATGGATAAACAGAGTGGTCGCTCGACTGGATCACCTTGTCCGTCACAGCAAAGTCCAAAGTGGTCCCTGTCAACTTCTTGGTGACCAACACTTCATCTCCTTACAATGTAATACTCGGTCGACCTTGGATTCATACAATGGAGGCAGTGCCATCCACTTACCACCAGGAAGTCCGTTTCGCAACAAAGAATGGGGTGGAGGAGATCAAGGGTGACCAAGTAGCGGCAAAGCACTGCTACAACGCTGCCATGAAGTCTAAACAAGCATACAAGGAAGTTTAGATAGTCGAACTGCCTGATCAGCCTGTACTGGAAGATGTTGGTAGAGTACTAACAGAGAAGATGGTGGAGGACCTTGAAACGATCTTGGTGGGCGGAGGAGATCCAGACAAGTTCTTTCTGCTCGGCACTTCGCTTCTCGCTGGAGAGAAAGAGCAGTTACTAACTCTCCTCCGCAAGAATATAGAAGTATTTGCCTGGTCTGCTTACGAGACTCCTAGGTTGGACCTAACCTTTGCATGTCACCAACTCAATTTCCAACCAGCAGCTCGGCCCGTAGTCCAAAAGAGCAGACGATCATCCGCAGAACATACAGAAGCAGTTATCCAAGAGGTAAACAAGCTTCTGGTGGCAGGGGTCATACAGGAGGTTCAATATCTGAAATGGTTGTCTAACATCGTCGTGGTGAAGAAAAAGAACAGAAAATAGAGGGTGTGTGTTGACTTCACCAGTCTTAACAAAGCGTGTCCTAAGGACAGCTTTCCTCTCCCACGGATAGACCAACTAGTAGATGCAACTGCCTGACATGAACGGATGAGCTTCCTAGATGCCTTCAGTGGTTACCATCAAATCCCCCTGTTTGGCCCTGACCAAGAGATGACAACATTCATTAGCCTAAGGGCACCTACTGCTACAAAGTGATGCCCTTCGGCCTGAAGAATGCCGGTGCGACCTATCAACGGATGGTCACTAAAATGTTCAAGGACTAACTAGGCAAGACTATGGAGGCCTATATAGATGACATGGTGGTCAAAAGTAAATTGGCCGAACATCATCTGAGAGACTTGAAGGAAGTGTTCCAAATCTTGAAGACCTACAAGCTTCGCTTGAACGCCTCGAAATGTGCATTCGGGGTAGGTTCAAGGAAGTTCTTAGGATATATGGTGACCATGCAAGGTATCGAAGTCAATCCCGACCAGATCAAAGCCCTCCAAGACATCGAGGCACCTACAAAGGCTAGGGAACTCCAAAAGCTCGCTGGTATGGCTCCAGCATTGAATCGTTTCATTTGTCGGTTTTCCGATCGAATGAGACCCTTCTTCCAACTCCTAAGAAAGAAGGCAGACTTCGAATGAGGTGACCAGTGCTCCGAAGCACTCGCAAAGTTGAAAAAGTATCTTTCTTCCCCTCATCTTTTGTCTTCTCCAGTCCCCAATGAAGAGCTCTTTCTTTACTTAGCTGTCTCTGATCACGCTGTGAGTGCAGTCTTGATTAGAAAGGAAGGGAAAGAACAAAAGCCAGTATACTACGTTAGCAAAACCCTCTTGGATGTCAAAACTAGATACCTGCCACTAGAGAAGCTGGCATACGCCCTACTAATTGCCTCTAGGAAGCTTGCTCACTACTTCCAATCTAAAGTCCGTGTTCAGCCAAGTTGATTTCTCGGGCCGGACAGCGGAGTGGGCAGTAGAATTAAGGGAGTTTGACATTAAATTCCAGCCACGGATTGCTATCAAAGCTTAAGTGTTAGCAGACTTCATAGCTGAATACACTCCAAGACCGACTGGCCCCTCCGAAGGGAGCTTGGCCTTAGCAACTGGAATCCACAACACTCATCAAACCTCCGCCGAGGCATGGAAACTTTTCATTAGAGACGTTTGGCAGCTATTCGTTGATGGATCCTCCAACCAAAAGGGTTCTAGAGCGGGAATGGTCCTTATTTCACCAGAGGGGTTTGTTTGGGAGCAAGCCGTCAGACTGGGATGGAAGGCTTCCAACAACGAAGCGGAGTACGAGGCGCTGCTAGCTGGTCTACACAGCGCTGAACACTTTAATGCAAAAGAGCTGCTCATTTATAGCAACTTCTAACTTGTAGTGAACCAATTGACTAGAGTATACGAAACTCGCGATGACCGGATGACATCCTCTGCAGAACAAGCCAAGCACCTGATCCACAAATTTCAAGCTATCAGGGTTGTGAAAATTGGTCGTGATGGAAATAGCCACGCCGATGCCTTAGCCTGTCTTGGCTCTTCGGTCGACTCCAGAAATGGTCACAAGATATGGGTTGAATTTGATCCTCAACCGACTGTCGATCCACCCAGCTCAGTCCTCTGTACTGACCTCGGTAAAAGCTGGATGGACCAACTCATTGCCTTCTTAAAAAATGGTGCCCTTCTAGATGACAAGAAAGAAGCACATAAAACAAGGCACCGAGCTGCGCGATTTTGGGTCTCACCTTTGGGCAAGCTCTACAAAAAGTCTACCTCGGTCCGTATCTTCTTTATGTTCATCCCAATCTTATGGAGAACTTTCTTTATGAAATCCACGAGGGGATCTGTGGTAGTCACACTGGAGGTCGGTCCTTGGCACACCGAGCCCTCACTCATGGGTACTGGTGGCAGTGTATGTAGAAAGATGCCCAATAGTATGTCCAAAAATGCGACAAGTGCCAAAGGTTTGCCCCACTCATTCATCAACCAGCCAAGAACTTAACTCCCCTCACCAGTCCATGGCCATTTGCACATTGGGGTCTGGACATCGTTGGACCTCTAGTAAGGGGTACTACTAACAAAAGGTTCTTCGTTGTTGCCACTGACTATTTCACTAAGTGAGTGGAGATTGAAGCCTTAGCAAGCATAAAGGAAGCTGACATGAAAAGGTTCATTTGGAGATTACTCTGTTCGGCATCCCAAGGGCCCTACTATCTGACAATGGCACCCAGTTTGATGGGAAGGTTTTCAAGAAGTACTATTCTGACTTAAAAATTGAGTTTCGAAATTCTACTCCAGTCTACCCTCAAGGCAATGGTCAAGCTGAAATGTCTAACAAGATGGTCATCAATGGAATGAAGAAACAGCTGGAGAAGGCCAAAGGCAAATGGGTGGAAGAACTGTCAAACGTTCTGTGGGCGTATAAAATAACACCACGGCGATCGACAGGGGAGACGCCTTACTCTCTCACTTATGGGATGGAGGCCATCATCCCCTTGGAGATCGGCCTTTCCACTATTCGGTCAGAAATCTTTGAACTAACAAATAATGATGAGGCTATCGCCCAAGCTCTTGACCTGACAAAGGAGCACAGATGGGCCGTGCTCATTTATCTGGCAGCATACTAACAACAACTTACTAGAAGTTTCAATAAAAATGTGCTAATTTGCCAATTTCTACCTGGAGATCTGGTGCTAAGGAAGGTCATGGATCATAAGAAGGTCCCTGGTGAAGAAAAAGTCGGCCCTAACTGGGATGGGCCTTACAGAGTTACCTCTGCCATAGGCAACGGAGCTTACTAAATGACTGACCTAGTAGGCAAGCCCATTCCTCGTTCTTAGAATGTTGCCAACTTGAAGAAATATTTTCAGTGATGTAATGATCTAAACAGCTTTTGAATGTAGTCGCAATTCTCTAAGTATTATTGAAATCACCTTTTCCCTATGAATTATGTTCTTCTTCATATGTGTCGTACATATTTTCACTCGGCAATTGAGCAAGAACAGGTTACAGGTCTTAACCTACGCCCCAGCCTGCAAACTCAGCCTTTCGATTGGAGTAGGGCGCCAAGTGGTATAGCTTGGTGGAATTTGTGCCAAGTATCATTACTTGAAAGCATAGTCCATGGTAACAACTCGCACTTAATGAAGAGCCGAGTTACACTCTACGATGAGTTAAGCTTGACCAAATCAAGTAAAAGCCGACCCACGAAATGCTCGGCCAAATCCAACTAGACATTTCTAAGGCACAAAGCCTGGTCAGCCCAATTAGACGTCCCATATAGTCTCGGAGCCTCTACTCGGCTGGGGGCATGGAAAGTTGTTTCTTCTGATTTTTCTAAGGCACAAAGCCTATTTTGCCCAAATAAATGTCCTCCTTCCCTACGACACCTCTACTCGATTGGGGGGCATGAAAAGTTCTTTCTTCTAATTTTTCTACGACACAGAGCCTAGTCAGACCAAACAGGTGGCCTTCTTCTCTAGAGAGCCCCTGCTCAGCATAACACGTGCAAGCAAAAATTGAAAATTGAAGTTCAAGACATATAAAAATTCAACAAAGCATTGCAGTACTATAAAACATCCATTACCAAGAAAAAAAGAAAAAAGAAAAAGGAGCTCGGCCTTACAAAATGATGATGTCAAACTAGTCGAACTCCAACACTTGAAAAAAAAAAAAGAGAGAAAAAAAAAAGAGAAAAAATAAACAAAAAGGATCTTGTTTTTCCAATGATGGCCACACGCCGACTTCACTTACTCGGCTCTTCTGCCAAGCCCTTCCTTTTTTTGTCGTCGACCCTTGAAGGCCCTGCCTCAGTGCTTATAGGACAACTGAGAGGGTTGACTCCTTGCTGGTCATCAAAAGCAAAGTACGAAGGTGCTCCAAATCGGGCCATGACGGTGACTTTCCATTTCAACTCTTTGTTCTCCGCCTTCAGTGCACAAATCTCCGCTCGCGCATCTTTGTACATGCGTTGAAGTAGAGAGAGTTGGGAGTTCAACTGTTGTACCTCAC